ATCGCACAAGAAACACACACAGCGAGGGAAAACCATCAAATCAGGAATAGCAGAGCATGTTTGGACCCATCAACATAACATCGAGTGGTCCCAAGCTGAGATCATACACAGGAAGGAACACTGGTTTAGGAGGAAATTTAAAGAAGCCGCATACATGTTGTCCAACAATGTATTTGGCCATAATCAAGCAAAAATGTTAACTTCCGCCAAACGGTCATATCCCACTAAACCGGTGAAGCGGAAAAAGGACGGCGGAGATAAGTGACAGTACTCGAACGACCTATAAATAGTCATCTCTCGGAGGAATCAGTCCAGTCATCACCCGAAGACGATTGTAGATACCAACAATCGAAACGTCGTGAACTAACGTGACTTGGAATCTCTTAATTTCTCATTTTATTTTTTATTTAATTATTCTATTTTTTACTTGTATTTCATTACAGGGTTTTTTTTGCTTAATATAATTGTTATTTTCAGCTAGGGTTTTTAATTTTTCATTTGTATAGGTTCTTTTAGGGATTTCAAATCATTTTATATAGTATTGGATAATTGGAATCCGAACTAATGAAATTCATCATGAAATATTGTCAATCACATTCAAACAAACATTGTATGATTGTATTGATAGTATTAATTCTTGGCTTGTCCAGATACAAGAAAAAACTTGATAATCGATCACGTGAGTTCTATTTTTTCATTAATTTGAAAAAATAGAGACTGGAAAACTAATAAAATATTCTTAACACGATGTTGCACCATAATACTAATAAATATAGTTTAAAAAAACTAAAAAACACGCTTTTAAAGAACATCGAACTAATCAATTGCCCTAACACCAGCTTGGTGTTAGGGCAATTTTTTTAAACTATATTTATTTTTAATTTTTTCGTTTCGTATGCTATAAAAGCGCATTTTCAAAAGAAGAAATACATGTAAAGTGAGTTCGAATTATATCAAGGAGATTACGTACAACGCCATCTGCCCGCGAATAGATCAAGCAATAATGTCAATACATTCTGTCGAATACAGATCCCGAGCTTGCGAGTTACAAACAAACAAACATACATACAGATGAAGCTAATAAAAGCGTGATAATTATTAATATACTTTTTTCAAATGAAGAAATACATGTGAAGTGAGTTGTAATTATATCAAGGAGGTTACTTACAGCGCCACCTGCCCGCGAATAGATCAAGCAATAATGTCGATTATTCTGGAGTTACAAACAAACATACATACATACAGGTGAAGATAATAAAAGCGTGTTAAAAAAAATAGAATTCATTCTTGCTTCCCTCGAACCCTCCACAGTTGAGAGCTTAGAAAAACTTGTGTAACTATTAATATTCTGCAATGAACAAAAAACTATTCTAAGGTTCACACAACGTAGTAAATCAAAATTGAGTTCATGAAGATAAATGCCACACGTTGATGAAATTGATCAGCTGAAGGTCGAATGCATAACAAAACGACCTGTATTTAAATTCTCGAAATGAGATTCCAACATCAGGATCGAGACGATCGAGACGCACAAAAACTTTGCCTGATGAGTCAGACCAGATGGTGGATATTTGAATATATCTTCGACGCTTTATGATTCGGGCTTTGAAATGTTGATTAGCAAGTCCACCGACTTCAATAGGGATTTTGGTTTGTTTAGGTCTCTTTCAATATGTGTGGGTTTATTTACCAGGTGAATTCAAAGGGATTAGTTATTTTAAGTTCCATTGAGAATTTTACTGAAATAGATTTTGTTGATATAAATGACATTGGTGAGTTCGCAAGAGGATTTTTTTTATTTGCAGATTTATGAAAAAAAAAACTTGATAAAACAATCTGCTCAACCCAAGACCATCCTTATTTAAATCATACTTTCACCACAGGATGCGGCAGAAAATGGTTTTTCCACAATCTAACAAAGTTGTGGACCATCAAATTCGTTTCAATATCGAATTGACGTAGGTACACAAAAGATGCGATATCATTGTTTTATAGTTTTTTTATTTTTGAAATTCCCGTGACGTAACATGTGGAATAATCAACAGAAAAGCATGAGAAGTAACGTTTCTAATATAATCATCGGAAATCCTATGAAGTAACATGATTAGCAAAAAAGAACATGAATAACACTAACAGAAAGATGATTTTGGATTCACAAAATTCAATAACACGCAACAGAATCGATTGCGAATGAAAACAAAAGAAAAATTTTTAACTAACACGTTCAACAGGAAAAATAAATGAAAACAACGAGAGCAAATTGAAGTGGTATGGTCGATATAGATAAAACACTCTGGATAAAATTCTACACAAAAGATTGTGTTTTCAAACAACAGAAACACTTTCACATATGAGTGGTTCAAAGCTGAAGTGGACAAAGTCCATAATAGTGATGTTTTTCGATAGACCCTGTATGATACTCTTCAAAGGTCATTATTTTCAGTGCAGTAATGAAGCAAGTCTTTACTAAGTTTTTTAAGCTACAGATGGAGCAGATGTATTTCTCCTGAGAATTACGTCGCATATCGTTCAGAGCATTAGTGAACCAAGTCCAAGTTACATTGTTCACGCTTTTTCTGTGTGAGAATAATATGAGGGTTATGGCGAATACCAATGAAGATGATGGTAAGTTATTGACTTTTAATATTATATGACTTGATGAAATGAAACCAAAGTGTCTTGGGCCTGATCAGGCCAGAGACACTTTGAGAAGAGATCAGCAAAATGCTTCTGATGACTGTTATGTCTGCACATTCGACTTACAGAAGGCACTTCCTTTTCCGAAGCTTTCTACATCAGTGGCATATTACAAACGCAACTTGTATATTTATAATTTTGGCATACATTCTTTCAACTTGGATACAGGCTTCATGCATGTTTGGGATGAGACACAAGGAGGGCGAGGATCTCAGGATGTAGTTTCGTGTATTCTCAAACACCTCAAAGAACATGCTGGTACCTTCAAGAAAATTACTTTGTTTTCAGATTCCTGCACAGGGCAGAATCGTAATATTAAGATGTCTCTCAGTTTGCTGAAACTTAGGCAGGATCCTTGCAGAAATAATAGATTCAGAATTTGGAGTAATAGAATCATCAAGCAAGAAACATCACAATATTTATGTCGCGCAAGATTGGTTCGATATCATCAAAAATTCTAAGAGGAAGCAACCACGCTATGCAGTTATTGAAATGAAAATGAATGATTTCCTTAGTACTAAAGCACTAGAAGAAGCCGTACTCAATAGAAAAACAGGCACTGACGGTTTTGCTGTGAACTGGTTGAAAATTCGGTGGCTTCGTTTTGAAAGAGGACAAGAATTTTCAAATAAATTCAAGGATACTTTCAATGATTTAATGGATTTCCGTGAAATAAATGTCAAGAAAACAAGTGGTCCAGGAAAACATCCGGAGACTCTGAAGAATGTCCAACAAAAATCCCTTTATACTACTCGGAGGAATGTCACTTTAGCTAAAAAAAATGACATGATCAGTCTGCTTCCTTACATTCCTCCAGTGTACCACAACTACTTTTAAAATCTACCATTGGAAACTTCCACCAGAGCCACTCAACTGCAACCTGAAATTGCTGATGACGAATTGGTTTATGATGAATGATATAAAAAAGCATTGGTCCCGTTTCAATAAAGTTTATTTCTTTTCATACTGAGCTTGTTTCTTCTGTTTTTATAAAATCTTCAGCGGAAAAGCGAACCAAGTCCAAAATGAGAGAAGGAAAAAAATTATAAAACGGAAACCATTAAATTTCTTGTTCCGATGATGGCACTCATATTCAAGTTATGAATGGTCTAAGTGATCCTCAATCGAAAAAAAAAAAATAGGTGGTATGGGAATTAATCGTTGACAAAACCGATGATGGCACTCATATTCAAGTTATGAATGGTCTAAGTGATCCTCAATCGAAAAAAAAAATAGGTGGTATGGGAATTAATCGTTGACAAACAACTTCAAATCTTCATATCTCAAATTCACCATAAATGGACTTGGTTCACTTCAGCTTTGAACCTCTCACATTATGATAAATAGAAAGATGGTTTTGATATGCATAACATCACCACCTTGGAAATAACACGCCAACAGAAAAAATTGTTCGAGGACAAAACAACAGACACATCGTGAAGTAAAATGGCTAATGGAAAAAAAAACAAAATATTAACATAGTTAGGTTAGGTTAGGTGAGGTACTGTGTGAAGGCTATTTTCCGGGTTTTTGGCCGTGGTATGCAAGTTTTTATGCCTGAAGTTACTGCGGTAACCATTATTAAAGGCGATAATCGTTGCAGTGCTCGAGTTGTTGTTCCTGGGAACAACAACAAAGTATTTACTGGTGATCAACAGAAAATAATTCTACTCACCTACTCACATCACATCTCACTCACATCAATCAAATGAAATACGAGAAAATTAATGTGTACAAAGGAAATCCAAAATGACTACCAAAAATGTTGAGGATAAATAACACTGATGAGTAGGAAAACTCAAAAAGTATGTATCCAGAAAATTTCAATTTAATAAATTTCATACCACTAACTTTTTATCAAAGGTGTGTTTTGCTACAAAGTAGCTTCACCTGTTCAACTGAAGAAGGTATTGTATTAACTTTAGTAAAGTTAACAGTGTGAAAATTGTTGATTATAAATAATTTAACTTCTACCAACAAGTACTGAATACCATTTTTAGTTGTCGTCTAAAAGAAAGAGTTGTTTTTTTATCAAGTCTCATAAAATTTAATCAAATACTCCAATTATTTTATCTCTTCAATTATTGCCATGTGAATCTTTTTAGAATCGGCAATTCTAGATAAAAATAGATATTCTAATGCTGAGGCACTTGAAAATGTTTAGGTTGTCCGATTTTCTAATTGATACCCAAGAATTCTGAGAGAGGTGTATTATTAAATTTATTTTATAGTGAAATGATATCACAATATATTGCAATCGGTGAGAAGTCAAAAAAATCTTAAAAATATTCTTTTCTTTCCAGCTTTTCCTGAAATAGAATGCAGTATACGATGCTACAAATGTCTAGCAGCAAGGCCATTTTATTATACAGATGAAACCGTTCTACTATGCGAAAACTTCGATTACTCAGATAAATTCATAGTTGATTGCCCTTATTCCACATTCTGCATGAAAACGTTGACTAGTGCCAAAATTTCAGGTAAGAAATAGCAAGATGAAAAAAACGAAACGCAAAGAATTCGGAAAATTCCAGTCCTTTCGATTTTTTAAGTGAAAATGAAAGTATCCTGAATAACGTTAAGTAAAGTCCAACTGTTTGGCTTGTTATTGTAGAAAAATTAATAACAAATGATTATTAAATAGTTTATAAACATTAGTTCGTTCATTCATTGATTCAGTTTTTATAGAAAGTAACATAAAAATAATAGATTTGACATTTAAATGAAGCCAATCTAGAACGATTGCTTTTTTTCAAGGGATTCAGATAGGAAAGTTTACAAAAAAGCATTTTTCAAACTACGTAAGAATTACTACATAATACACATACCAGGATGTTAAAAACATGTTGCTTGTTTTCATAAGCAAATGTATCATTCACTCAGATTAAAATTCTTCAAAAATATTTATAAAACACTTTTTTTAACAGCTTACTTTAAAACAGTTAATTCAAACAAGATATGAATAGATCTGGAGTAAACAGAAATAATGATATATACTTAAGACAGGTATAGTGATTCGAATTTTGAACACAGTTAATAATGAATGATTCATTTAAAGTAGCTGTTTCAATAACAAATTGGAGCAAAAATTTTTCTTTCACATCCAGAGTGAATTTTTATTCGGAAGTAAACACTTCTCTCAGTTTCCCTAGATTCATGAGTTATTTACAAATTTTGACTTTTGTTATTTCTACACGTGTTAGTAATATTTGTGAATAATTGAAAAAAAAATATGGAGAACTAACTTTACTGCATGGCAGTGATCTCTCAAATCTTCCTTGAAAAAGTATTTATATACGCCATAGCAGTGGCTCGGATAAAAATTTTTGAACTTTTAGTGCTAGGAGTATACATATATTGAAGACTAGCTGATCTGGTGAATTTCGTACCACCATAAAATTAATGAATGTGATAAGTTATGAATGTGAGCAGAGTTATATTACCTTTCAGTGCTGTTTGTGAAACACGAACTCAGGCCAAACTAACATGGTCAATTTCATGCTTACCAATAGAGTGTGTGTCAAGTTAACAGTAGATTGATACAAAAAACAGTAAAAAATAAATTTTCAGATAAATACTACAATAGTGTATGTCAAGTAAAAAGTAGATTGACACAAAAAACAGTAAAAAAAAATTTATAGATACATACTACAATATATGGCAATTTTCAGTCGTTTAATAATTATTGCACAAAATAAACCAGATCATCTGTAGATTTCAACTCATACGATTCTGCGACTTTGTTTTATATATTAGGTCATTAAATTGCAGATAAAAGTATTTTCTGACATTTAGATTTTACATATAAAAAATATGCGATATAAAAATAAAATAAAAACAACAATAAAAATTAATTGGCGCTCGGGGGCGACTTCATTGATTCCAGTAGCGCATTGGCTTTTTCAGCTGCAGGAAAACCCGGAAAAACCTGCAGCACACCATCATCTGAAGATCTTGATCTAACAATGTCCTCTCTCTTATAAAACAAAATGTAGGGTGTTATTGATATTCAACACACAAACTTGAGTTTACCTATTCCTTCAGAAGCAATTGTAAACTAATAATTATTGTTTATGAGCGGTTTTATATTAATGCCACTTTTCAAAACTGTAAGACCCGGGTCTGACAGTCTCTACTTTCAAAGAAAATCTATCATTTTATTCCAATGAAATATCATTGAATATCGGGTTATATTATGCAGATTTCAATATAAAAGAGAAGGTTGTTGCAAGTAATATTTTCAAATCAAATTGAAGAATGAATCGTGCATATTAACAACGCTATTTAAACTGCAAAATTTTGGCTTATTCACAGCCTTCTGCGTTGATAAAAGGTCTTAAACTGCTCGACAAAATTGTCAGAAATTTATCTGTTCAAGGAACCAAATACAATGATCATTTGGTGTTTTATTTTTATAAAGTTGGTTAGTTAGCACACCTTCTGTAACCCCACGTTGGGCGCCATTTTTATAGCCATTTAATTATAGCAAGTAATAATAACAATAATAGTTTTCATTTACTTATCCAAGGAGTTGATCTTTCCGACACTAGATGCACGGCCTGATTAAATCTGAAACTTGTCTAGCATATTTAGTCTCAGCTCATATTATAGGCGTAAAGAATTACGAATACTCTTCACATCAGTGGTATCTTACGCTACATGTGGTATGAATCCCAGCATACCTCACACTCTTGACAAATGAAAGTTAGACGATACTCGTCTTTTTTTCGACTTTTTGACTCTGACTGAGATTAATACTATCAAAAAAGAGGGGGAAAACTGATGAAATATCGAGATTTACTCTTCGAACTCAACACCCTCCAAACCTCTCTGTTGAAATGGTTGTTCCAATAATAGAAGTCTATAGTGGAATGATAGAATTGGCCGATACTTGATGACCTGTCTTGTTACGTCACTGAGCACACGATTCAAGGCTCAATGCTCCCTCTCCTCAAATTGTGGGGAGTGGAATGTGGTTAATGGATAATGTTACTGGCGTGCCCTTTAAATGTATTAGTGCTTCAGCAACCGCTAATAAGTAAAATATCCAGTAATCAATCATCCTACGGATGTGGAGTGTGGTACTCAGTAACTCTGTGTGTCTGAGCGATTGAGATAGATTCTGTCTGGTGAACTTTTTGGAATCAGGGACTTGCTGGTCAATGGTAATAAACACCGATCTCAGAGCGGCAAAAAAATGATTGTTTATACCGAGACCCACAAATATTTGATATGTAACTTTGGGTGAATCTGATTTGAAAAGGTGACACATGAATAACCAACAAAATAAGAGATGTCACAATCTTATTCTTGATCCAACTTCTCCGGATAAACTGCAATTTGCAATTGGTTAATGTAAATATTTGAAATTTGTGAACATTTTCAATTACTCCAGGTGAACCTTTAGAAAATTACTTTATTTAGTAAGATGCTTATTCATAAAACTAGGTTTGAATCTGTAGAAATATTTCCCTTTTCCAAAATTGGGCCATGGTACAATATCAGATGATTTTGATTCAGAATATTATATCTGAATGCAAACTATTCCCATATTTGATACTTCATCTGTTGATAGTTCATAATTTCTTTCACTTATACCACTAATTCAAAGGTTCATTTTCTCTATATACCATCGAGCATTACACACTAACTGCATATTTTTGTTCATATCAAAAGTGACACATTCTAATACATCTATTTGCAGGTATTATTAATGGCACCGACAGGGACTGTGCCAACCAGAAACAGGTGATCCAAAAATATTACGATCGTGATTGGCACAAAGAAATACACGTTGAATACCCTTACCAACCAGGATGCACAGTGGTGGACGACAAGGGAGCAAGAACGTCTTCTATAGAACACTGCTATTGTAACAGCGATTTGTGCAATTCTTCTGAGATGAATATCCACTCTACAATTTTCCTTGTCATTTTAGCTGTGATAACGTTCTTGATATGAATATTTAAACTTTGCATTCATTAGATTTGATGTCATGCTTGAAAGTAACTTTGCATCATTGAAAATGATTCGTCTGCCTTTCGTCTTTTATGCCGTGGCATCAAACTATATACTTTAGGAAAGTTGCCGCAATGAAAATCCAATGGGAGCTTTCATATACCACACTTTTACTTTAGAGTGTGGTGTATGAACGCCTCTACTGACTTACATTGTGACAAATTGAAGTAAAAGTAGAAGATAAGTAAAAGTGAAAGTTTGGTGTATGGATCACCCATACATTGGAGATATATTATTGTATTGTTCTTTTACCTTTGCAAATAAAGCACCAATCTACCTCCTTGAACCAATTTTTCCTCTGATTCATCCATGTGTATTATGTTTTCCAATAATTCAATTAGACTTAGGACGTTTTGCAGGATGTTTCTTCTCGCTGACATGATGATGTATTCGATTACTGGGAGGCGATTTCGTAATACTTCCACTTTGCCCGCCATCGTTCACGTTGTTGTTAACTTCAACGTCATAAGACTGGCCGGGTTTGTTACTAGACGTTGTAGAAATCCTCTTCGTGTCTGTCCCATTGGTCGATATCAAATTGTTGTTGCGTAAACATTGATAACTGATGATGGGCAACACTGGCTGCAACTTCCTGTAGTGGGAACCTGAGCAGGACTTTCGCAAATATATAAGTTTTTCTGATCGCACGGGTCATCGTTCCTTTTAGTGTCAGTGCCGGACTTGAATACTTCCAGACAATTCTCGTGGGTTCTCAAGTTGTTGGGTTCTCCTTGGTCCCAGTTGAAGTAGATATGGATATATCCACCTTGGATATGGCCACCTATGTACTAGGTGGCCATATCCAAGTTTTCTCGTCAGATATTCGATATCCAGATGTCCAGTAGTATTCGTTCGCTCCACTTTTCTGCAACACACTGTTTATAGCGTCGTTTTTCTCCTTGGTTTGATTACTGACAAGCTTCATGGACTGATTTCGGCAGGCTTCTGTTGCTTGCGAGTATGTGAGCCTGTCTTTACTGAGATGATAGATGATGTCTTGAGGCTTTGGAGACAGAGTTGGAGGTACAGTGCTAGGTTGAGCGGTGGGACAGTCTCCAGATGTTGGACAATTTCCTCCACGGATATACTTTTCAGTTGGAGACTGACAAATGAAACTCAACTGGCCGTGGCAACCCAAATTATTCCACATGAGACCTTTATCTCTCTGTTGTATCAGCTGTATGCATTTTTCGGCTTTGTTATCTGGAACGCCAGGAAGCCAGTTGCTGAATTCTACTTTTTTTTAAGCCAGTTGCTGAATTCTACTTTTTTTTCAGTGGGAAGCCAATACCAGTTTGTGTCATTTATTAACTTCGTTCCAGATGACCAGAAAGATGTACCAACAAGGGTATCTCTTATGTATTTATATATTCTATTATTTTCATCTTCGGATAGTATAGACACCAACTAAATATCCAACATTTGACAAAACTGGTTGGCTTCCAGGAACCTTACAACAAACTCGTTGTTGAAATAATAGCTTTTTCCCTTATAGTTCAGTAAGTTGATATCACAACACAACAAAAAAATATTTTTTGAATGTTTCCTACACTAAATTAGTCAATTTCTACTAATTTTGGGGTGATAAAAACGAAAATAACAATGAAAAATTTTTATTAGCTCTGGTTTTTGAGATACACAGTACTTAATCTTAAAGAGTAGTTATACTATACGTGAAAAGTGAAAGTACATAAAACAATATTGTTATGTTTCTTTTAGAATATTTTAAGTACAAAATTAATAAAAAAAA